GGGCGGGCCCGGCCCCGGACGGAGGCCGAAGCGGCGGCGTGAAAACCGAAAAGCGCCGTGGCCGGCGCAGGGCCCGGTGCCACCCGGTGGCCGTTCCTCTCCTGGTGGCGTTTGGAGGAAGGGCTTTGCTTGGGCTGAAAGTTGCTCCGGTGACAAATTATTTGCAGCCTCCGGGCGCTGCTGTGGTGCAGCGAGGACTGGGGCCGTCCCGACCCCCCGCGGGGCGAGGGGTCCCTGGAAGGAGAGCAGCCGCCGCTCACGGCGAGGGACCGCAGCTTCCCCGTTCCCGGAGGCCCGACCTTTGGAGCACATCACGAAGCCTGCCTGTCTGTCTGTCTGTCTGTCTGGGGAGGGTGGGAAGCAGAGGGCAGTCGGTAATTAAATGGGGTGAGGCTTTATCTGCGGCGAGGTTTCGCGAAGCAGGCCGTGTGCTGCTGCTCGTCTCGACCGTAGGCACCTGAGCTCGGCGGCGTCTCCTCTGACAGGAAGGGCCTTGGTCTGTTTTAGTACAGTCTTAAGCGGTAAATACGTCCAAAAATGCAACAGCATCAGATAAAACTTTTGTTATAATAACAAAGCTGCTTGTGGTGGCTTCGGGAGCCGGGGGTCATCGTGCCCGGTTTCGCCCGGGGGGGACGTCACGGGCGGTCCAGGGCTGTTTCCGAGCTGGTTTTATCCTTGTTGCTGAGACCGGCGGATAAAAACCAAAGCAGTTTTTCTGATCCAGGCTTCCCTGCTGTCAATTTTCGCAACGCTAGAGTGAGCAGAGGAGTTGCAAGAAAAACTTGGATTTGTGTCAGAAGATCTTAAGGTAGCATTTGGGAAAAACTATTTTTAGCAGGATTGCGTAACTTAAAAGCTGAGACTTTACCTACTGGGCAAATGTTTCTTTCCCTGCACGCGGTGCGCTCCTGCAGTGCAGCGATCCCGCTGGAAACGCCTTTTGTCCCGGCTTTTCTCCCAGCCGAGTGAGGTGGGGGTTTGAGGTGAGTGGAGTTCTGGCCCAGGGCTGGAATTTCCGAAGCAAAGTGCCACTGGGAGGCAACCGACGTTTAGATCGCCGGCTCGGTCGCGTTCAGCCTCTCGGGGAGGCTGGGATGCGTGAGGGCGCTCGGACTGGCGGGGGGCTCCGGAGCAGCCCTTATTCTTACCATTTAAATTAAAAAAGGCAAGGCAGAGAAATTTTTTATGTGGTTGGAAGGCAAGGCGAGGAGCGGATGAGATGTGGTGGCTCTCTGCGTTCTCGTGACCGACTTCAGACCCTTGTCCCCAGGGGAACGTGTATCTGTGTCAGAGGCGTGCGGGGCTTGCGTGGCAGGCATTTCTGCGCAGGGTATTCCGCTTTTTAGGAGCGTTGCAGAGGCTCTTTGGGAAATGCGGGTTTGCCTTCTGTGGGGCTGAAGGCCTGGGTGCCTGTGTGGAGGAAGCGAGGTGTCTTCACCTGGGCCCTGAGAGGGGGTGAAGGGCAGGGCGCAGCCTTCCACCTTGGTTTTTACCGTGCTCATTTTTCCTTCCCTTTTTTTTCCCCTGTGACTAGATCTGTCCTGTCTGACCTTATGACTCCTGCGTGGCAGCGGCTCTTGGCCCTCGAAGAATGACATTTTAAACGGTAGAAGAGGAAGGGGAAAAGATGGGCCATTGGGAGCGTCTCCCTGAAAAGAGTAAACCCAGCCCAGCCCTGCTTCTTTGCTACTTAGGGAGGAATTCTGCCACGGAAGGTAAATTGAATATCTCTCAAAACTTTCTCCATCTGTGCACGGGGGATGAGTTTTAGGTCCTTCCTCCACACGCGTGGAGCCTCTGACACGTGAACAGTTAGAGTTACATCAGCAGTTTTATGGGGTGTTTCTTTATATATGCTTCCAGGGCGTTCAGTTGGCTGCTGCCAATACCTTTGAAGTCATATTTATCTGAAAACTTTGCTTTTGCTCTGCTAACAAGAAAGATCTGTGTGTGTCTTGACAGTCCCCCCCCGCTGCAGCTGACAGTGTGACACGTACGGCTGTGCTCGCAGCTTGTAGCTGCCTGATCTCTCCCCGGCAGATTTGCCTAGATCACCGTTCAGAGATCGCAGCCTGCTGTTCACGGGCCCGCAGGTTCACAGCGAAGGACACAGCTCTTGCTGTAAAGCTGTTCAAGAACCTTTGTTGTAAATTAATGTCTACAGGGAAATAGCAAGATCTTCCTTAAATTTCAGAGGTTTAAAATAAATCCTGCCAAACTGGCTTAAAAACTGCCCCTGCCTGATTTCTGTATCTCTTATTTCACTTGGTGCTCCAGAAGAAGGGCAGACACTGGAATTCCCAGAGCGCTCTCGAAAGAGCGAGGTTCCCTGTGACTTGCAGGGAAAGTGCTTTGTTAACGAAACCCACTGGCGAATCTGGCGTTCTGGAAAGGCATCCCAATGGCTGCAGAGGCAGCTGGAGGCAATGCACAGCGAACTTCAAACAAAGGTAAAAGCGAGCCGCGAGTTGCGCTGCTCAGCGGTCTCCGCTTTCTCGCTGATCAGTCGGCTTGGTGACTGGCCAACTGCTGGGGCTTCGCAGCCTGTGTGGGCTCCTCGCGGCAGAAAACAGGAAACACTTCTTACTGAATAGGATCCGTGCTGTTCTGCTGTGAGGGTGGGATTATTCACCAAGCCTAAAGAGATCCCTCGCATCCAAATGCTTTAGACTACAGGCAAAAAGCTCTTTGGTCTTCCCGTGGTATGATTTCCATATGGCAGCTGGGCTGGACTCACTCGGTACAGCGGTAGTGCCGACAGTCGAAGGTGGGTCTGACCGGGAGCGTGCAGGCTTGGCCGACCTGCGCGGGCCAGGCTGCGGAGGGGCCCGGGTTCTGCCCCAGGCTCCTGGGAATCCTCGCCTCCCGTTCGAGGAGCTGGGACCTCTTGGGGTGCTGCTGGCGGAGGTGGTGGCTCCCGGGCATCCTCCCGCCTGCCAGATCTGCCTTTCTGTGGCAGCTACCGGAGCAGCACGTCTGCCCCGTTGAAACAAACTGCCCGGCGTGGCTTGCTTTGGACAAGGCATCGCTTCCACGTCTGGCGGAGCAGTTAAGAGTTGGGAGGGGACAGGCTACTGGCGGAGCAGCGATGCGGGATGCTTTTTGTGACTGAGTGCGCCTACTCGGACATTTTGCTGGCTGTGATTTACATCTGCTGTTGCTGGGAGGGGGAAAAAACCCAAACATAAACTAGTTTAACTTCAGATTTAGGCTTTTCATTTTCTTGGTGTCTTGACACCGTAATGGACCACAACATAAAAGGCTTGGCAGAGCTGGATGAAGCTGCGCTGTGTAATTCCAGCATGGCCCCAGCTGTTAACAAGTGGCTTGTTCTGCTTATCTAATGAAGGGAAACCCGCCTCGCAGACCCTCGCGTCCTTCTCTGCCTTGTCTGTAGCCATGAACGCTCTCCAGACAAACCACTGCTCGTGGGTGCGAGGCCCCGTCCCGGTCAGAGCCTGACGGTGTCTCTGCTGGCGCCGATGAGGAACGTGCAGCCCCACAGAAGCGGGCTGGGGCCGGGTTCCTGCCTCTGGGCTGTCGGTGGCAACGTCTTCCTCTGGTCTTGCTGCAACTGCCTGTAGACGCGCCGTGGGCTGCGGCAGCGTGCTGCGCCGCATTCCTCCGTGCTCTCTGGGGTTTGTGGGATGTGTCAGAGCTCAGGCGACAGCCAGGGAGGGCAGCCGGTGGCTTGGGTCGTTTTTGACTTGGAGCTCGTACTCCAAGTCGCAGGACCTCGTTTAGTTCTTGCCTGCGTTCCTGGTAGGCAGGAGCTGTTGCAGAAAGAGCTCAAGCAAAATGGACTTTGCAGTGTTGAAATGCAGCAAGTGGGAAGAATATTCTGAGCTTGTAGCAGAAAGAACAAAACCCCAAATGTGCATTTCTGCCTGGATGTTGAACATTTCCCTTCTAGTACACCTGGGGCGTAGGAACCTGAGGCTTGGGAGGCTGCGGCTCTGTTTGCGGTACCCGGACCGAGCGTATCCCCCGTTCCTGAGGATGATCGGTGACGGTGACAGCCCGCCTGTGCTGGGAGGGTCACGGGCAGGGTCTCGCCCCAGCACTGCAGCTCTGCAAGGCAGGAGGCGAAGTGTGGGTGCAGCCCTGTAAAGGAGTGCATCCCCCTCCTGTTGGAGTATTTTTGGAGGAATATAATGCTGTCTTGTGGAAATCTGCTGTGAGGTTTCCTTCCCCGACACCAAAGTGGTGCTGAGCTTTGAGCGTTCTCCCAGTCGTCCCCGTGTTGTTGCGTATCTGTGAGGTTTGGCGTGTTATTTCTGCCCCTTTGGCAGGCCTGTCTGAGGCGTCAAAGCCCCTTCGCAGCGCTGTAGATTGAATTCCTGAGCTTTGGAAGGGCTTGATGCGAAACAAGTACAGAAGGGCAGGAATTGGCTGGGCAGCTCAGCAGGTCCAGGTCGGGCCACCCTGTCAGAATGTCTTAATAAAGCGCAGGACCTTGATGTTCCTGAAACAACGTGTGATTTTTACTTTTTTTCCCCCCAGAAGTCATTTCCATGGCTCAGCGACCTGCAGCAACAAACTGCCTTCCCTGAGCCGCTTTCGGTTGCGAAGCAGAGGGTCGCAGTCAGCTGTGGTTCCTGTTCGTGCGTTTCATAGGGCTGCAGGACTCGATGCAGCGCCGAGGACTTGGCAGCCCAGGAGATCTTGTCGCGCTCCTCGCAGGCTGAGGGCAGGGGTGGCTGGAGCGGAGCAGGGGTTTGATCTGCTCTGTGGATGTCGCTTCTGCTCGTCCCACGGCTCTGGAAGAGGGCTGCCGTTTCAGTTCTCCACCTGTGGAACTGGGGATGGGATGGATAAAGGTGGTCTTGTGGCCAGCGCGTGCCAGCGAGCAGGCTGTGCTGGAGGCATGGGGCACCGCCGAGTTTTCCCTGGGCTGCTTGGCTTGCTTTTTCCGATGAGCCGTGCCCAGTCCGAGGGGATAACGCCCTTGCCCCGTGGCTGCGCGCAGGGTCGTCCGCCTCCCTGTTAGATCGTCCTTCGTCTCGGTAGGCGCAGAGGTGACCCTGTCTGCACAGCGTGGTGTGAGCTCGGTGTGCTGAGAGCCGCTCCGCTTTCAGCAGCCACCTCGAGGAACTTCCCAAAGATTTTTTTTTTTTTTTTTGCTTTCCAGAGGTGGCTGATTTCCCCAGCAAGCTCTTCTGCCTCCGGCCTCTTTCACTTAAATCCTTCCAACGCATTAAAAGTAGAGAGAACAGGATGAGTTTGTTGGGTCCCAGCTGGGAGGGACTGCAGGCTGGCTGTGCTTTTTTGGTACCGGTAGTGTTGTGTCATGCCGTGGGATTTTGAGGCGCTGCCAGCGTTAGGCACGATGCCTGTAGGTGTTGCCAGGACTATCAGCCGGGCTTTGGTGATCCTGAAGAGCTTCCCAAAATAAGGAACGGCCCTGCTGGGTGGCAAAGCCCTCGAGCCTGATTCTGCAGGGGTTAAGCAATAGGAGCTCTTCAAGGTGTTGTTTGTCCTTCCACCAGCTACCAAAATGGGATCTTGAGCATGGGTAGGGCCTCATGATTGATGTGTTTTCCTCCTATTATACAACCGAGAACGATTGTTTAACCCCGCTTTCCTTTTGATCTTGTTTGCCTGTGTGTACTTGGGCAAAAGCTTCCTTTGACTTGGGAAAGGCTTTTTAGAAAAAGGGGTTGTTTTTTTTTTTTTTCCTTTGGAAAGTTTTGCTCCCTGGATGTGGGCTAATGTCAAACAGAAGATCAACACTTGAGGAAAAAATCTGTACGGAAAGAGCTGTTAGATTTGTACTCTTGATGCTTTTGGCTTTTAATTATCAAATAATGAGTAATATTTTCGTGTGTTTTGCCTGTGGCCTCTTGAATCAAAATAATACGTACTAAAACTCTGTGGATTACAGTCAGTCGTTCCTGAAGCCTCTGCTAACTGGTTAAAACGCTTTGAAGAAACACCTCCACCTAAGAGAAGTTTTAGGCCTGGGGGATATCGATTATTTCAGGTGCGGGAGGGACTGCAGCGAGCACGCCGAATCCATCGGGTTTTGTTCCTGCT